GATTGTATTTAAGTAATACCATGCATAGAAATGGGAATTCTGGAATAATGTTCTTGTTGTTGTTTTTGTACTTCTGATTGGATGACAAAGTGGTACAAGTTTTTTAAGTCAATCACACAGCATAATATATACAGTATAAATTATTATTTTTTGTCAAGTAAAAACAGTCTAAAAGTGAAAACTTCTCTTGACTAGAAGTCTTGAGAAAATTGTTTATGAATACTATTCCAATACCAATGGGCATTCAGGGATGCAGCTAAGAAAAAAATCATCAGGCTTATTAACAAGCTTGGCCGGCTTTTCTGAACTAATTTGCACGATGCAATTCAGATTAACCTTGGTTTCCAGTGAGATTTCAGCCAGTGATTGGTTCTCTTTCAGCTGGTGAAATTAGCCAGCAGCTGGCTTTTAGCTACGTCCCTGGAAATTCATGCACATGAAGACTACCAAATATCAGTTTCTTGCATTTACCTTTGGAATGTACGGGGTAACTTCCTTTGGACATCTGCACACAAAGGACTCAAAAGCCTGCAAAACAATAAAACAAACTTTGTTATACAATCATTTACTGTCTTACATGTATCTTAAGTAGTACTGCAAGTTTTCTATTAGGCCCTCCAGAAGCTACATGTACAGTAAATATACAATGTATTTTATTGCAGGAGTCAGGGAGGGGGGTGGAAGTTGGGTATTGTTGAGGGTGGCCTCAGAGCAAGTGGAGTACTTTAAATTTATGAAATGTGACTTATTCTCTGGATTGGCATGGCTCAAAATGAATCCATTATTAATAATAATTTCTTTAGTTGTGACTGCAGAGGAAAACATTTAGGAGAGGCTAACAAGACAGAAACTAAAGCTTAGAGTACATGTCCACACTATAATGACAAAATGTTTTGCCCGAAAAGGGAGGCGCTGATATTTGAGGGTGGAGGGGGTCTACATGTGTAGAAGAGGATTTACATGTACAGTGCATTGTACTTTTAGTTAACATTCACTTACTTTAACTATCAGTCTAGTTGCCAAGGAATTGAAAAATCCCATCAAACTGGTCGTTAACTTTTCATCTCACCTGAATGCAGTATTCTCGCAACTCATCATCATTCTCAACTTTAGAATACTGCACTATCATCGGTATGATCCTCTCCAAATGCTCTCCAACTCTGTGGCCTGCTTGGCGACTGCCATGCAAGATATATATTAATTACATTACATACAAAAATATTAAAGTGAAGTTAGGTATAAAGCATTGTTGGATTAATTTTCAAGAAACTGACGACTGCATAGTCAGGGCGGATACAGGATTATAGAGTGGGGGGTTCAAGATACGGAGTGCTGAAGGCAGTCCCCTGAAGGGGGGTTCCAGGGGAATTGAGGTCCTTGGAAATGGGATTTCCAGCATTCTGAGGTCAAGTCAGCGTGTTATAAGGTCTCATTTTTTTCATTTAGGGGGTTCAGCCACCCGAAGTCCCCTAGATCCACCCTAAGCATTAGTCATGCCGAAATATGTCTTTTAAAAGTTGTATCATGAGTTTCTCCTACCATATTGCTCCTATACATTGAATAAAAGTCCTAGTGGTGGAATGTGAGGCATTTTGTTTCAGCTCAGCTAACAAGTGATCCATCAATTCAACAAACAAGCTACTGTTTGCACTTAGCACAAGATGGCCTGCAATTCAAGAACAAAGATTTAGTATTAATAAAGGAATGATCAGGAAATATTCCCAGAAGAACAGAGAGTTTATGTTGTAGACAGGGCTCGAAATTGCAACTCACTGGTCGCCAATGCGACCAAAAATTGAGCACTGGCGACTAAATTTTCAGAACTGGTCGTCAGCTGGTGACTCGCATTTTGTCCGGTAACTAAAGAAAACCTCGACACAACTTTTGTTTTTAAATCTTTATATTAGGAAATCAATTGGATATGGTAGCTAGTTTACAACTCACCTTTCCGTTCCCAGTAAATAATGTCTGAATATTACAAGATAATCGAAAAAATTGAATGTATTTCAAAAGGTCGATACTGCTTTCACGGTGCGCCATACTGTTTCAGCGGCTTCTTCCAAAACTGGGATCGCAGGCGCACTTCAACACCATGTGCTTTTATTTGCGGCGAAAATGGCAGCAGACACCAATCAGTTGAAGGAATTACGAGAGTTTTTACGTGCGGGGAATGAAGATTCAGCCAAAAGGTTAATCCAAACTTTGAATTCTTCGAGGAAAGCAAGTCGAAAATAAAGAACGGCATTTTGAAGAAGTAGCAAAGGGAAAATACGCAAGGATCCGTGTCTGTCTCACAATGAAAACCACGGACTTAAAAACGTTTTATGCTTCACTTCATTTCAAAATAAAATGACTATGGAGACAACTGTCACCTTTGGACCAGAGACATATGACCTGAGAATAACGGTAGCTTTATAACTAAGGGTTACTCGTGTTGTTTCTTATTGTTTTCGCTCTTCAATTGTGACTTTTCTTACATGCAAAGTAACATATAAAATCGTGTTCTTGTGTAAGTTATTTATAAAATAAGTTGGCAACCAAAATTTACGATCTGGCAACCAAAATTTTTCCGTTAGTCGCCAGCTGGCTCCCGAACGAAAAAGTTAATTTCGAGCCCAGTGTAGATGATGTTTTTCTTTATATTTACACATGAAAGACCCAAAGTTGCACCCATCATTACACTGCACTGCACACTGGAATGCTGATTTTTCAACGGCTTGATTTTTCAAACCTCCTGATCATCGAAACAATGTCTGCTCCCTTGAAAAAAAAACATTTTGAGAAATGTAGCCTAAAATTTCAAATCTCTTAATGTTTTGAACCAATCACCTTTCTCCAGAGTGGTTTGAAAAATTAGGATTCTACAATGTACCTTAGCTTGGATGGTAATGAAACCATGTTTACTTAACTAAATCAAACTAGAGGTAACTTTCATACCAAGTGCAATGATTGTTCTCTTTCGGACTGCTAGTCTTGCACTCGTTAGTTGTGGCAACAAAGCCTGCTGAATGGACTGGTGATATGATACCAAGAGACCTGAAAATATCAGATTTTCACATATGCGATGTACTGTACATTTTCACTCTATTACAGAAAAAATGTACAAACAAAGCTTGATCTCACATTACCACATGTAGGCAAGATCTCAGTGAAGCCATCACCATTTAAGATTAACGTAATAGTGGAATAACAAGTCCCTCACTCGATGGCTTAGCATATACACTGTACATGTAATATGTGCCTGCAGACGTTTTGCTCATTGACCATATTTTTGTGCTATTACTAAAATACTACCAACACGAATCACTAAAACAATATTATGTTAAGCCATCAAATACAGGTTGTAAGGATATACACACATGTACAGTGTACTGTATTTGACTGGTGTAAAATCATTCTCACCCTTTATATTTACCCATTAGGTTTAAATAACAGCCAAAGCAGACTGACAAGACCGGTTAACACATCTCTAAATGTACATCACGTAACATTACTACTTATATGTGTCACATAATAGTACCATTGATTGCAATTCTATCCAGCTTATGGGTCATCTGCTTCCAAGTCACTCTGGGTGCAGCAAGTAATAAATGGAAAAGGGCTTATCCAAGTCAAAAGCTCAGCAACAAAGCAAATTTTGACACCTTTGAAGAGGCTTTTTATGTTAATGGGGTGGTAGGAAAGCATTGTGCTACATGTCATGTAGGTCTTGTTATTATTATTTTGGATCCTTGTGATACATGTATATTCATGTACTTCAAATGTGTAACCTCCACCCTGTAACATCTCCAATTAAGCATTAATGTCCTTGAAATCAGTTTACCTCCAAACCTGCTCAGAAGATCTCCAAGAATGTCTAAGGCTTCCAACTGAACAGACACATCAGTACTCTAACATGAAGATCAAATAACTTATATTAAATTGTGCACTGTACACATATGAAAGAAAAAAGTGGCATGCAAAACTAAAGTTGCATGTTTCCTTGGTGCTTGGAAGTAAAATAATACCTCATTACAAAATGGGGTTCACTTTCCTTTTTGCGGCAAAGGGGTAACTACCGTTAAATGTAAAAAATGTGAATGTTCAACCTGGTTTGCCTTATCATGGTTAATACAAATGAGAACTACATGTGGATTGGCTTCATTAATACTAAGTACAGAGACAAAAAAGAAAACAATTTCCCTGTAGACTTAAATGAGAAATGCTACAGGGACATGCACCACAGGTGGGTGTTTCCATTGATACATGTAGCTTTTTAAAGTTCTCCCAAACTTTTACGAGTGTGTTCCTGTAACTTTATAGAAACACAGAGAAGGGATTTCCATTTCTTTCACAAACAGTGTGATTTCAAAAAGAGCAGAGGGAAAGAAAGTTTTTTTATATTAATAAGTTATCACTAAATCCTTTCTTTAACATTACCCACCTTGGAAATTGCATTTGTTAACCGACCAGTTATTCTACGGCAGATGTTGGCAGCCAATGAGGAAGAAGCAGGAGGCAATTCACCAATAACAGTTTTCAAACCTGCAAGTACGGAAACACAGAAGATGAGGAAAGTTCCATGGTGTATTTAGACTTCAACATGTGTGACTCCAGAATACATTGTACTAAATTGCATTTGGTCCTTGACTAGTTCAGTCTTACTCCCATAGGCCAAAATTATTTTTGCTCCATGTACATGTACTGTAGCACCTAGAATTGAAACCTCTGAAGGAAATCAGCAGATGAGGCAGCAAAAGTGACTGCTTTTGCTCTCTATATGCATGTTCAGAACCATTACTGAACTTATATACATGCCAACCAACCAACATTGTCTGATTCCATATTTTTATTTGTCTAGAGTGTCAGACATTACATGTAGGTCACTGCTGACCAAAAGCAAGAATGCTCTGGGGTGAGATTGTAACAGTCTTCAACACTTTTCAATCCCACTGGCTTCTTTGTGCTATTGAGTTGACTTGTATTCCCCTTTAACCTTGTCTCTACAAAACTGTGTGGTAACTCAAAGGAAAATCAAAATCAACCTGATTTGATTTTTTGAAAAGAACAAAAACAATGTGTACAATTTTTAAATGCCCATCATGCGATCAGTTCAGTCCTCTCTGAATTACTCACCAATGCTTGAGATGTCTCTTAGCTGCTCATTATCAGAAAGCATGTTTGAACACAGAGAATCCACTATAGTCTCCACATGGTGCTCCTTGACTTTGCTAACCAGAGGGCCAAGGCTAGAGGTGTCAAAGACACCAAGCCATTAATATCATAATTTCAACAACTGTGTTTTACATTTATAGAACCCACACAAATGCAAGGATGGGAAGGACACAGGGAGAATGATGAACGGAAGGACGAAGAGATGGAAGGTTGGAAGGATGAAGGGATGGAGGGAGAGGAGGAAGAGAAGGAGGGATAGAGGAAGTTAAGGGACAGATAGATAGAGGAAAGGGGAGGGCAGTAGGGAGGAGAGAGGGAGGGAGGGGGACATTGAGAGGGGGAAGAAAGGCAGGAGCAGTAGAGGAAGAGAGACAAGTTAGGTGGGTAGGGATGGATTTCCACAGTATGACTTGAGAGAAGGAAAACATGAATCTGCCGAAACTGGATGGGCAAAGCAGGGGTTTCATTAAGGGCCAGGCACCGGGCACGGGGCAAATTGACCAGCTGAGACGAAATTTAAGAGCTACATGTTACAAGAGATTGCAACTTAAATTGACACATGTAATTACCATTTGACAGCGAGGTTCTGCACTTCACCATTCTTGTCCTCTAGTAATTTCAAAAGCATCTGAACAACCTACACATAGACAAAACACTTGCTTGTAACATACTGTAGGTTGCATTCCTTTCAGATGACCTGGTTCACGATCAATGATCCAAGATCACTTGGATCATGGTGTATCAAAGGAATCGATGAATCCTTGTCAGGTGGATTCATTTGTTTCCTTTGATATAGGATCCTCCAAGTGATGTTGAATCCTTGATGCTAATCAGATCCTTGATCCTAATCCTTGATCCTGATCCTTGATCCTAATCAGATCAAGGATTCGACAAGTTTTTGGGTTAAACTGTTTCAACCACAACCAGTTTGGGTTGATACGTTGATGTTTCTCAATAGAACACTTGTCCCACCGTCTTTGGTTGAAATGCAGTAACTCCTAGGAACAGTCCTTATGCGAGCCTCAATCATGCGACACAATCACACAAAGGCTTTTTCAACTGTTTCAACCTGGTTTGAGGCCAGTTGAAAAAGTTGATCTACCAAACCAACCAGAAACAGTTGATCCCAATAGAACACGACCTAAGAGAGCAGAACAAGAATCAGCTACATGTAGTTATGAGTCACACCTAATCAACATGTTTCTTTTAAAAACTTGCTACAGCAGCGAGGGTTTTGTGCTTTTTCTTTAAAATATGGATGATTAATGTACGATGTACACTGATTTACATGTACCTCTCCACATGTATGTCACCAAGTAATACACCACTGAGTATTAATAATTAAATTTTGTGACGCTCTTTCTACATGAAGCTATAACATATTATTAAAATCATTTGCAATTTCTAACTATACAATATGAATGAATGTGTACATGCATTGTACATCATTATGAACATTGGCATACAGTGTAAGCAATCATCATTTATACCACTGTCATCACAGTGAGCAGTAATTTTAGTGTCACTTTCATTCTTTAGAGTGTTTTACTGCTCACAACATGAAATTAGATTCTGAACATGGGTAAGTGGAAGGAACGAAAAAGAAAAAAACAAATAACTATGATTAAGTTTTGTCTATATTGCAGGGCAGACTGACCTTCCTTTCACTGTCGTCATCCAGTTTAATGGAGTCTTTCTGTAGTTCAGCCATCAAGTCATTTGTTGCCATGAACCTGAAATCCTTATCACTTGATGTCATCTGGAAATTGTATAATTTAAGGACAAGTTTAATAACAGTACCTGGTAGCATACCACATGTTTGGACTGAATGTGGTTGTATAAGAGCTTGGTAGATTTGAACGGTGCAGCTTTCACTCACAAATGGTCTCATGCACTTCAGGTGTTGCTGCTTGTTACATGTATGTAGTTCAGGTTTTAGTACATGCCCTAACGATACTGTTTGAATTTCCCAGGACAGGTTCTGGTACATGTAGCTCAAATACAATTCATTGTATCTGACAGGTTGAGTAGGATAAATTACTGTACAAGTTTGTGCAGTGAATAAATTTCACCAGCAGGATATAAAAATAATCATTTTATAGCCCATTTTTACAAATTGTGCTACAGAAGGCCTCTAATTCATGTCCAGATTCGATCAGGTCAGAGTTTAAAGACCCAACATTTTTGTACATGCACAGCAAAAAGAATCGGGTCATAATTCATCGATTTTTAAGCTTGCAACCCGCGCATTGAAAGGGAAATACTGGGACATTTTACACTAAATATCACGCAGCTTATCGTGAACTCTAAGCAGGTCTCGCTTTCACGTGTGCACCGTACCATGAATAATTCTTAAATTGACAGTTCCTCTTTTGCTTTACACAGTGCAGACTTGACAAGAACACCACAGGTACAGATTCAACAAGCAGACCGAGAAAGATCTCGGCTTACGCAAAACTGAAAGCTAACACTAAGGTATAACGAGGTGCATGTAAGACTACATAAAAGCCTATTGATCGATCAAAAAAGCCAGCATTTACATTTTATAAGTTCTTACCTGCTCGTACACGTCCGCGAGCACAAGCCACAATGGCAGTAAAAAAGCAAAATTTAACATGTCTTACCTTATCCAGGAGAGAAGCTATGTGGTACGGCGAGGTCGACATAATGAAATCTCCGACTTTGTCGCCAAATGACAGTTCCGCTCAGCTCCGAAGTTGTGATTATAGGAGGAATTTTCGTCCCCTTTCTCTCAATATACTCAGTACGCCTGCGTTCAAGCCCAAACCGCTGATGTATTGCCGACGATTCTCGACACTTTTACTTTGGCCAGAAAAGCCTGGGACGAACTTCACTTGCTCCTGGGACGGGGAAAGTCTGCGTGACATCAACCGGGGATATGTATTAGTATTTTTCCTGCATAGCAAGCGTTCCCGTACTTGGATTCTTTTCCGCATTTTGGTCGCGTGCAAATAGATTGGAGTGAGAGCAAAAAAAAAAAAAAAAAAAAAAAGGGGGATCAGTGGGGATCAGTGGGGATATTGTTTTGCTCTCGCTGATCGCTCCAATTTGCGCGCGGCCAGAATGCGGAAAAACTCTAGGTACGGGAACGCTACACCGGCGATAAGCAGACTAGATTCGTATAATCTTTCGCCACATTCGCGCCTCCTCTCGCCTGAAACTGGGTTCTCGGAACAATTTCCAGACTTTGATGGGGCATTTTCGTCCTTAGCGGCCAGGCTCCTTTTGGTCAGTACCAAGAATCGCGACCTCTTGGCTGGTTCAACACCAGAAGCCCGCGATTCACGGACTTTCCGTCAAAGCTGACAAGTCTGATTGCTGAGAATATGAAAAGAAACTCTGCACATGCTCAGAAAATCAGATCCGGACAGAAGTCGCGATTCTTAGTGCTGACCAAAAGGAACGCAGCCTCTGGGGAAAAGAATGTTGCTAGGGTTGTTGGGGGTACCGTAAACTTCGGAAAGTAACGACCCTCGCTACTTTCGGAGTCAGCAGCCTCCTTTGGGGCTCGTTACTTTAATTTTGTAGGGTCTTTACTTTCGGAGGGTCGTTACTTGCGGGGAGCAAAAATCATGATATGTAAAGTTGGTGCGATTGAGCTCTTGTTACGAAATAAAAGACGGAAATTCGTAAATACCAGTTTTTTAGAAATCCGTATTAAATTCTTCATTCCAGTTTAAATCTATGTTGCTGCCACATGGGTGAGCTCTTCATGTCTAGATCGTGTTTTCAGTGGTCGGCAGAAAAGCTAGCCAGATACCGTAAACTGTTTGTACTTCATGACGTACTGCCATGTTAGTCTGCTTTCGCAATAACTCAGTGCGTTAGTGAGTTTTGAAATTAAATTCGAAGAAACGTTCCTTTTAATACTCCCCTAGCTGTTGAAAATGACACAGAGTTTTTAATTTAACGTTAGTACGTTCCTGTTACCTACACGGCGCAACATGAACTGATCAACACGAATTGACATTTTACAACGCTTCGTGGCGTAAGCGCTTCCTTTCCTTGTTGTGCTTAATTTTCCCCTGACTATTGATTAGAAAAAAATATATACTGTCATTGAACTTTGGTCTCATTAATTTCGAGGTGCGGGGGACTGGGCTCGCTACTTTCGGCGGGGGGAGGGGGGCTACTTTCGGGATTTATTAGCGGCCACTTCACTTGTTGAAGACTGTAGTTTAGACAGTCAAAAGCTTGTGGTTTTTTTTCAATACCTTAAGCCAGACAACGTTTTTAAATATAAATAAAGCATTTGTTAAAAACGCATAATTTTACCTCGCAAAGAATGTCTCGATCGAAACTTTAAAAAAAAAAAACTTTACAAATCCAGTTACGAGAGTTATCCGATCCTAGATCTGTCACCATCAAGACTTAGTACGGTTATATCCCGCGGCACTCCTACCCGCAGGCGAAATTTCCCTAGGGTCACACCCGGGCGTATACGTCCGTTGGGTGGGGCGAGCTTTCCGGTGGGGTGGGATTTTTTCTTTAGGACTTCGATGGGGTCTCACCATCACCCACTACAAGTCCGCGGTTGGTTTGCTTTTCGCGTTATATACGTCCAAAAACTCAAAGATTTTGCTGTTTTGGGTAGCGGAAGTGGAGAGGAAGGAAGCAGGAGCTTTCGAAGTGGAAAAAGCGGATTTAATACTTCTGCTTTGTTTATTCGTCTCAGTTTATTGTTGTTTATCTTTATTGTGGATGAGAATAATCAGTTCATCTTAAATTGAGTGTCGGATTTAACCATTCAAATTAATCTGACATCTGACATAAGTTTGCAACGCAGACGGTGTAAATGAAGGATTGTAGCCCCTCATGAGATATTTTCTCCACTATATCTAAATTGTATTGAAAAATTCTCCGCGACCTGACCTTGTTCCCTGAGGGTTTTTCCCTTGGTATGTGAGCAGGCAAAAGCCCTGGAAACGAGGTTGGATGACATGGTTATGATCTTGAACTCCTGGGGAGAGCTAGTCAGCGAAAAAACAAAGACAACAAAATTTTATCAGTTGTAATCAACACCAGACTTTATAGCCCTCGCTCACCATCTATCAGAAATTCACGAGGAAAAAAATGGTAAACTTAAGAGAGGTGGGATTCTCGTGCTCAAATATGCTCATAGCCGAAATATATTACTTTACTCACTCACTACTTAGCCGTTTCCACTCTTGATTTTCGTATGGCCGAAAACATTTGCAAAATCAAATTCATCAAACCGACACTACCGCACTCTTATAAATTTATTCAAGAAAAAAATGCAAAACCATAGAAAATTACTCGCCAATTCTGCCTAAATTTCATTAAGGTCGTGATGTCACTGCTTGCAAGGTTCCCTGCACACTACTTATAAAGTTGTGTTCACATTACAAAAATAAAACACGCCATGTTGAAGGATCCGTGAGTCTTGTGTGCGTCTCCTCTGCACGTGCCTGAAAGGGTAAGTAAAGCAAGTTCTTAGTAAAGTGAGATACCGTGACAACCTTAGCCTCTTCCAGGCGTTCAGTTAGTTGGGGCGCAGCGTGACAAACGGCGAGCGAAAAAGATAGGAGAGTTTCCGCTCGCCGTTTTTCGCGCAGCGCCCGGCCTGGAAGATGCTATGATAACCTTTGTAGGGCGGTTTTCAATTGAGTCTCGAAAGTAATTAGACAATTACTTTGGTTTTGGTTTTGGTTTTACTATGGTTTCAGATTGGCTAAGTAGTCTAACTGGTAAGTAATTGGTGTTTTTTTTTTTTTTTTTTTTCGTTTTACGACACCCAATTGTAAACCGCTCTATCGCTTAACATCTTATTTTTCCTTAGAATTTAATCTACTTCACATGTGCAGATCAAAGATAGACATAGTTCAATTCTCCCAACTGGTACTCTATATAATATTCGGAGACACGCGAAGAGAATATCAGTTTCAATATCAGGCTTTTAACCAGTTTCCAGTTGGCTTGATAACTCAGTTGGTAGAGCACTGGACTGGTATCTCAGAGGTCATGGGTTCGAATCCCGTTCAAGCCCGATTTTTTCCAAGGTATTTAGGTTGTGTGGAAGACTGGTCTTTCATATATTCACTTGCATCCTTCGTTATTACAGACTCATAATGTAAACAGCTCCCAGTTGGCCTGGGGGCTATTGCTCATTTAGTACGAATTACTAGCGTTCTATCACGAATGCCGTTCTCTGATTGGCTACGCTACTCGCTATCTATTCTGTGATAGATAGTGAGTAGCCTAGCAGTGTACCCTTGTTAACAAAATGACGGCCGCTCCTGGCGTTTTCGAAGTGTCTGTGACGAGGATTTAAGTAAAGTTTTGAATGACTTGTAGATTTATACTAAAACAATTAGGTTATTCGCTCTCGACTCACGCGATAGAAATCTCGAGCTCATAATCTAATTGTTTATTAGTATAAATCTTCTAGCGTTCTATCACGAATGCCGTTCTCTGATTGGCTACGCTACTCACTATCTATTTTACAAATAGATTCCATGTTGCCGTGCGTCTGTTCAGTAATACATCACAGATGACGTCAAAATGTGGTAAGAACAAAAAGGTGGCACACGAGGCGATAGCCCAGCGTGTCACTGGTGTTCTTACCACATTTTGACGTCTTCTGTGATCTATTACTGAACAGACGCACGGCAACATGAAATCTATTTGTTTTATATAATAACGAAACAAACTACTACAGATAAAGCTTTTTTTTATTTCAAAATCTTTCAGCATAACTCGAAAGCCGGCCTTTGCCCACTTTGGCGAACACGAAAAAAGCCATTTGACGTAATCTATTGTCTATACAAATTGAAGCAATCTCATTGGTTGCTATGCGTAGCAAAGAATTTTGATTGGTCCAGGAAAATCACGCCACTGTCAAACTTGACTTGAGCGTCGCTTCTCAAAGAGTCCTCATGATATCAAAATGCTGGAAACGAAATAATCTGAAAGATATTTAAAAAGCAATTGTATGAAATATTAAAGATATAAAAGATGATCCCAAATGAAAATAAAAAGTATCCCAATACATGTTAGAACAAGTTATTTAGATGAATTTTGAGTCATTCTGCCTTTCTTTTTGTGCGTTCGGAGTAAGTTGGCAACTTAAGTAGTTCGGCATCGACCTTTTCGCGAGACTGATAGTAAAATTCGCTGTCAGAATGTTCAATCTCATCTCTCATTTTGAAAAAAATCAAAATTTTGCTGAAACAAATCTCTTTCTGTCATTAATTTTAACCCGCATCGATTTTGCGGGAATTTACGTTTCACTTGTGGGGCTTTACGCGTTGTCCCGGCCCTATCATTTCGACGGGTGCGGCCTTCATGCGGGACCATTTTACTAATGGTTTTCTTAGTAAATAGCGCGCGGGGCTGTACGGGTCATATGATAAAATCCTGTACCTTGAATTCCAAACTGTTTGAATTTTTAATATGTCTGAGCAATTGTCGAATGTTATTGCGCCTTTGGGGAAAACCAATCAGCTTTGAGCTGCTGATGAATAAACCACAACTCGGAATGGTTAGCACGATGGAGCACGGATCCAGCGGTCTGGGTTCCAGCCGGATCATGGTGACTCAAGCAAGCTAAACCAGGCCTGACGGTTTATTTGCCAATTTTCTAAATGGTATATCGGTACAATAAACAAGTTTATTGAAAATCTGCCGGTTCAAATGGCTTGGTACATGTACAGAATCATTTTGTCAAATTTCTTGAAGCCTAAAAGTAAACTTCGTTGATGCCTGTTGTCAGGTCTCAGAGTTTTGAGACATGCTGGTTAGTTA